ACAAATGATAAGAAGATAACCGTAGTGATATAAATGTTAAAGGATAGAAAGGAGTATATGTAACTATACAATACTGAATTTTTACTTCCTTTGACTTTCGATGATTAACATCATTCAGAAAAAATAAATGATAGGCTTCGTTCGGAAATCGAACCCATGATATGATCACTGGTTATCTGGACCAGTGCTCTAACCATTGAGCTATCGAAGCACGACTAACATATCATTTATTTTTCTGAATGATGTTAAATCATCGAAATTTTAACGTCGACATGATGTATACGACGCACCTGAATATAGCAATGCTATATATTACCAAGTGAAATTGATGGTGAATTTTATTCTCCTCTTATCAGAGGGTGAATATATATAAATGTTAAAGGATAGAAAGGAGTACATGTAAATATACAATACTGAATTTTTACTTCCTTTGACTTTCGATGCTTTAACATCATTCAGAAAAAATAAATGATATGTTAGTCATGCTTCAATAGCTCAATGGTTAGATCACTGGTCCGGATAACCAGTTATCATATCATGGGTTGGATTTCTGAATGAAGCCTATCATTTATTTTTTCTGAATGATGTTAGTCATCGAAAGTCAAAGGAAGTAAAAATTCAGTATTGTATAGCGCTGAAACTGGTATATAGAAAAGAAATTTATTAAACAAATGATAAGAAGATAACCGTAGTGATGCAACTAAAAAGTCTTTATAAAATAAGAGAACATAAGAAAAAAAAGTAACACTAATGTCTGGTAGATTCGATTAAAGCATCTTTTAAAGCGAATATGAATACAAGCTCAGTATTATTACAAATTGACGAATAAATAAGAAGTTTTTCCGATTGAGAGGTAACCGAGTTTGATCAAATTATATAGAATCGAAAGATTGTCTACATTAGTTAAAACATTTTGGATATGTGACATAATATCATTGTCAATGCGTCAAATATTTTCGTATTATTTATTCTTTTGATACGTTGCTGATTTTGTACAATTAACTACTTCTGAATTCATACATATCGAAATCAATTATGCAAATGCTCGCCGTGTTTACTCGTAAGTTTCACACGATATAGCACAGAGTTTAAATTGATGTGTGTTTTAGTTAGTATAGTGTACTGCTTCTGCCCATTGATATTGGCCTTGATTAGTCCTTGTGCGAAGTGGAACACATCAGGAATCACATTAGTCGGTGAGAGAGAAGGAGGCATATCTGGAGGATCGGATGATTCACTTTTTTATCCCAATAGTATTTTTTTCCACAAAAACTCAAACACATTATACGTGGCTGATGTTGGAGGTACTCTGGCATTTCCACTAAATGGCTCAACAACGGCCGGAATCAATGTAGCAAATTACTCAGGTATAGCAGTAATTTACGTGGACGATGATGAAGATGGTCCAATACTATATGCCGCAGTGAATGATATTCATGTTTGTCGTATTGAAAAGTGGAAGTATGGCGCATCAAATGGAATACAAGTAGGATATGAACTACGATATTGTACAGGTATTTGGGTCGATCAAGAGAAAAATATCTACGTATCAGATTTTTTTCGACACCGTGTGATTAAATGGTCAGTTGAAACAAATACCACGACTATTGTGGCCGGTCGAACGGACGAAAGTGGCTCAACAGCCAAGCATCTCGCATACCCCTCTGATATTCATGTTGATAGAACAGGAAACGCAGTCTATGTAGCTGACAGAGGCAATAGCCGAATTCAACGATGGACGAAAGGTGCTCAAGAAGGAGTTACGGTCGCTGGCTCAAGTACCAATATTGGAAATAATGATAATACATGGATTACTCCGAATGCAATATGGTTTGATGATGAAACTAGTGTTATATATATCGCTGATGGAACTTACAGTCGGATACAACGATGGATCTCTAACACATCTATTGGACATACTATTGCTAGTGGATTCGGTATGTACATACAAATATTTATCTCGACAAAACAAACATTAGTTTTAGTAGTTTTCAATTATATTGAGCTATCTATGCTATTATACTAACAGAAAACACAATGAATAGTTAAGACTAAGGATGGAGAAATGATAAAAACTTCATAAATATGATTTCAGTTTGGCATATTCTGTTTGATTTGAAGAGTTTTTTCGTTTATTAATTATAATGTTCATCAACAGGTCTAGGAAATGCAACTAATCAGTTCTTCAATCCACAAGATATTGCATTCGACAACCAGGATAATCTATATGTATGTGATTCGATGAACAAACGAATTCAAATGTTTATTCTGATTGACAATGAAGTATGCCCTCCAATATCGACAGGTAATGCTTCGTGGTCCTGCTTGAATTATTTAACTATTTTACTACTGTTTATTCTTCATTCTCCTCAATCGGAAGTTCATCAACCCATATGTAAGTAGTTACTTGTACTACACAGATATACAACTAGAAAATCTATGTCATAGGATGATATCCATTGTGACAACATCTATGATTGCACAACGGATCATTGTTAAATGGATTCAATGCCACTGATTTGCTGATTATTAATTGATTAAAATAAAAGTTGATAAATAAATTTCTAATTTAAAATATATTATTTACATTGTAGTATCGTAATCGTTAGTGTCTTCATCAGAAGAGGTGTGGGTGTGGAGTGTACGTGTAAGTAGTAGATGTGAATGGGAATATAGGATAAAAAACATTGCACATCCGTCCAACCTGAACATCTACACCATACACAACAAACGGCCTTTGTTATCTTGAAAGCGATAAACTTAATAAAAGAGTATTATTTATGCTTTCACTGACTACAGTAAGATTTATTTCTATCTTACACTTTACGACCACGCCGCGTTGTAGGTTACATGAATTTCCATCAAGCCTGAATTCTCCTAGGACTTTCAGCCTGAGACCTAATTGATCCCTAAAATAAAAGATTTAATTTATTGTAGTTAGTTAATGAATGTTGTAGTACCAAGCAGGATGTCACAATGGATTTGGATGTCAGTAAAAAGAAGATTCTAACATTTCCTTGACTTCATATTAATCGACATCGTCATGTAAACGCAATGAATAGACATTGCTAGAGAATGTGTTTTGGTCTGTATGAAACGTATGTATAAGTTTTGAACTTAAATACTTCAATATTCCTTTCAGATTCTTGTTCACAAAGCAAAAATGATTGCTTCTTTGAAGAAGAAAAATGTTTTACATAAAGTATAATGACGTATTATATTGAAAAACCCATGTGTAACAGTCATCTTTCTAATTTAGCGTGCGATGGATCTTTCAATCTTTGAACTATATAGACAATTAGTACTATTCATATTGGTTTGATATAAGTTTATTCATAAAAAGTGTTTCTCTATATTTATAATATTTGAAAAAAATTATCTATACTTGTTGAAAACTCTGCTGCCTCGAATTGGTGTATTGCAGAATTGTCAGACTTCGTAACATTTTAAAAATTCATATAGAACTTTCGAAATATTTTGGATGATGCAACAGATTTGCATTCTCTACAAATGTATTCGAGTTTTGTTCTTTCCAATTATTCTAACTAGAAACTGTTTTTAAGCCAAATTTGGTCGTTCTCTTTAGTATTTTCATTGATAAAACTAGTCATGTTGACAACATTCTTTTTGAATAATGTTTGAAAGAAGGTAGGAGGCAATGGTATCTAACTATCCCAAAAAACAGAAATTCATATGCTGACTATACTTTTGCAGTTGCTTTTTCTTTGTAAAAAGAAAACTCAGTCCCTTAGATCTTCTAAAGAAATCTTCTGATTTCAGACTTCAGAAAGTAAAACACAATTAGTTCCTTTAAATAACAATATCAATGAAATATCTCAGCTGTTAGTAAGAGAAGAAAGTAAATATTGCTGACGTAAAAGAGCAATCACATACGAAAGACGGTCTTCGAACCTCTTATAAGATAAGATAAAGGTAAGCTTCTTTCGATTATGTTGTAAAAACGAGACAAAAATTTTTCAAAATGAAATGATTATTGTTCCGTTTTCACTCCAGAATTATTGATTAAATCACAGCATCCTATTTCTAGCATTACCCAACAGTAATTTTCGCTTCATTTTTTGTGGAGAGAAACATGAGAAGACAATACTTTTTTGCTATCTATTTTTCGTAAAAACTGAATGAACTTTGTCCATCCTAGCGAAAAATCTTCGCGCTGCTACTAATATCGAGCTTCTAAACGAACATCAATAGTAGGGTTTTCGAACAATCAGGAAATTCAGCTATACTAATATTGATCTGTCTATTTTTTTTAATCAATGATTATTCAATAAAAGAGGATGTATGCTTGTTTGCTATACAGATGTCTGATCAAGCTCAATATGCGCCTATGACATTTAGATTTGTTAATCATTATAAATTTCATAATAGCTTTGTTTTAAATTTAAATATGACTTCGTAGATGACGATGTAAGTATAATATGCATACTCACTCTCGGTGGATGTGAGTATGAATGTTCTTTTCATCCACACCCACACTCACTAGTGGCGTAACCAGAGGGGGCTGAGCTCTCCTACGAAAATTTCTATTTTCAAATTTATTAACTTAGATTTTGATCGCCTTACAATAATTACATTTGTTCTTATGCTCGATTTATTTTGTTTTCATAATAAAGGATTAACTATTTGAACTTCTATATTGTCTTCATGCATTGTTCCAGTAGAATTCAATTTACCTTGTTATACTTGAACCCTTTCCAGCCGGCTATCAGAAGATAGCAAGCAAAAAATTCTCCGTCTATATATTCTTTGTCTTTTAGGTCTGAAGGTTGCCGAATTCCATCTTGGAGTTTAAATAACTG